ATAAAAAGAAAGAAATAAAAAAAGAAAGGAAAGAAAGGACTTTCCAGGCCGGAGCGTTGGTCATCTCATCAGTTTTCCGTTGTTCGTTGCTGACCTATGTTCTTATCCTCCCGCATCCGTGGGCCGATCCGAACTCACTGCTTCTGGTTCCTTCGATTTTCCAGACCAATGTGGTGTCGCGCGGTGACAAGGGTTTCCTGGGCAAATTCTGGGGACACTCACCACTGTTCTCCAGTTTCTCTCCAGCGTGCAGAGTATATTTTCCTGGGGTCTAGTACTAGCCCGACCTCTGACCCCTTTTGTGATCTTGAACGAGTCTGCACTCTCCCCGGTCCCCATTCCCTGTCAATAAAATGGGAGTCGATGTGAGACGTGATGATAGTCTCTAAGGCCAACTTCTAGCTCTGCCTCTGTAGGATCCTGTGATGGGGAAGGGGGCGGGGACCCGAGAGGGAACCCGCGGAGTTTGGCTTCTGTAATTCGGGTTGCTGACTGTTCTCATCGCCCGGACCCCCTGGAACTTTGGAGCCTAAGCAACAGCTTGGGTGTTTCTTATTTGGATAAATTGCGTCTTCGGATAATTCCCGTTCCAGTGCTCCGCAGAATGCTCCGGACACGGTGGCTTTTAGTTAATGTTGAATGAATGAGAGATCCATGGGCAGTTATGCCACTGGCTCCTGCCAGCCCGAGGCGCCTGTCACTGACCTCCGGTGTCCCCTCTCTCACACCCGTAGTTTCTGGTGTCTGCAAGTTCAAGCGCCACTTGCTGCGAATCCACCCCGCGCTCGGTCCCAGATGTGGCCTCAGGCTCCACCCCGGCGGCCGCTCTCTGCTGCGCACCCTACGATGGCCGCCTGCTGGGCAGTGCGCGCCCCGAGCTGGGCGCGGCCTTGGGCATCTATGGAGCCCCCTACGCGGCCGCTGCAGCTGGCCCGAGCTACCCCGGATACCTGCCCTACAGCCCGGAGCCGCCCGCACTGTACGGGGCGCTGGTGAGTACACGAGGTGGGGCCTGGGCCGGAACCCCGGAACCCACCCGGCCTGGGGGCAGCAGCAGCAGCCGCCGGGGGTGAATTCCAATGTGATATCTCCAGGGAAAATTTAGGAAGGACGCACAACTCCGAGGAAAGGAAATAGTTAAGACTGTGTATAAGGGGGAAAAAACAAACAAACTACATCTTCACACCGTTGTACAGCTTGCAGAACTCCACAGCGTTTAGAAAACATTTGCGCTTCTATTAATTCTGCGAGGTAGGCGAGTCATTACTTCTCTCAGCTTACAGATGAGGAAATCGAGGGGCAGAGGTCAATTACTTACCCAGAGTTACAGAGATACAAAGGGCCCGGGAATAGTTCTGGAAGGAGCATAATGTAGGGAAGCTCCCCAGCTGGTGGGGAGGAGGGTTGGGGGGGAGACTCAAGTAATAACAGTAATAATAACAGCTAATATTTCATTAGGGTCTATTCTGCACCGGGAATTCTGCCAAGCGCTCTTCTTCAATCACCTATAGGTACTATTGTTATCCTCATTTACCAAGGGGAAACTGAGGCATAGAGTGTTTAACTCTGCTCAGGATCACACAGCCAATACCAGTGGTGGTACAGGGATTTAAACCGAACTTGACTTCAGAGTTTACACCCTTAGCCATTTTCCCACCTTTTCGCTCCCCAAATGTAAATAGTTCTGAATTCTTTGTTTCTACCCCACCAGAATCCACAGTATGAATTTAAGGAGGCTGCAGGGAACTTCACACCTGGCCTAGCACAGCCAGGAGCCTATTATCCCTATGAGCCTACTCTGGGGCAGTACCAGTATGACCGGTAAGACATGGGGCACTTTGGTGACTGGCACCCAACGTCCTTCCCTCTCGCCTGGCAAGATAGGGCTGATCTGGGCAGCGTGGGGGGAGGGGCTGAGCAAGGAGGCAGAGGCGCAGAAGCTCATTTCCAGGCCACAGACGGCCTCCCGCCCGCCGCCCCAGGTTCCCCGCCTCAGACTGCGAGCCAGGTTGTCTCTACAGGTACGGAGCGGTGGAGCTGAGTGGCCCCGGGCGCCGGAAGAACGCCACCCGAGAGACCACTAGCACGCTCAAGGCCTGGCTCAACGAGCACCGCAAGAACCCCTACCCCACCAAGGGCGAGAAGATCATGCTGGCCATCATCACCAAGATGACCCTCACCCAGGTGTCCACCTGGTTCGCCAACGCGCGCCGGCGCCTGAAGAAGGAGAACAAGATGACGTGGGCGCCCAAGAACAAAGGCGGGGAGGAGAGGAAGGCGGAGCGTGGAGCGGAGGAGTCCCTGCGCTGCCTGAACGGTGACACCAAAGGTGCCAACATCTTCGCCACCCCGCCTCGCACGCGTTGTCCCAGCCGCCATGCGGTTTCGTTGGATTTCCGCGGCTGCGCCGTGGGGCAGCCTTCATGGCGGACGCTCACGCTTGCCTTTGCACTCACACCCCCTAAAAGCCTCGGGACCTTTGCCTGGGCATTTCGGTCTGCCCCGAGTTCCCTATTGCACCATCTTCTTCTCGACTTAAAAGTGTCACCTCTGCAAAGCCTTCCCTGGCCACCCAAGCCAGTGTAGCTTCCCAGTGATTCTCTGTCGTCAGCCCCTTTTATTTCCTTCACCCTCCTTATTATCACCGTGACCCTCTCCAGAATGTCAGCCCCACTGGAAGTTGTATGATTTGCTTCTGTATCCCCCAAGTTAATGCCTAAGTGATGTCTGGCACACGATAGGCACTCAGTAAATATTTGCTTAATTAAATAATACACGCCAGCCACCTGTGGGTGTGGAAATTGGGTAGAAATTGTCCCCTCGCCTTTACAGGGTTGAGGAGCTGAGATCCAGGTCTTAGAGCAGCTGGAATTATAGGTTTCCTTGGCTTGGGGGTGCAGGGACAGGAGGAGCTTTCAAGGGGGTGAGGACAAGGTGGGGCTGGGGATTCTTTCCCAAGGGCAGGCGCGATCCAGGGCCAAGTGTAAGAGGTGGTGTGGCCAGCCTGGTGAATTACACCGAGAACGCCCTGAGTGCAGGGCGCATCTTGCTAAAAGCTTCTCGGGGATGGGCACTCGGGCAGATTTCCCTCGGGGCCTGGGGCTTTTCTCACTCGCTCCTGATTTCCTGCAGACGTTGCTGCTGCTCCGTCTCGGGCGCTCCGTCTGAGTGACCTGGAAGACCTGGAGGAAGAAGATTTGGAGGAGGAGCCCGAAGAAGAAGAGGCAGTGGTCACAGCCACGGACAGGCTGGCTGAGTTCCATAAGGACACGCAGTCGTTGCCCGCGCCATGCGCCGCAGCTCGAGTGGGCTGGCTGCAGCGCAGAGAGTGCGGCCTCGCGGCGCCCCGCTTCTCGCTCAGTGAGCCTCCTGGATCGGGAGAAGCCGATTTCCTCCAGACCGAGCCGGGGGGCCCCACATTGACCATGCACTACCCTTGCAGTGACAAAGCGCGCATCTGGTCGCTGGCGCACACTGCGGCAGGCAGCGCTGTCGAAGGCGCACCTCCAACTCCGCCCAAGCCACGAAGTCCTGAGTGCCATCTGATTCCCGGACAGCCTCCAGGCTCTGGCGGACGACCTGCGGTCCCCAGAGACTCCGCGTGTGACGAGTCTTCCTGTGTAGCCAAAGCCTTTGGCAACCCCGCGTTCGCCCTGCAGGGGCTGCCCCTGAACTGTGCGCCATGCCCTCGGCGGAGGGAGCCCGTGGTGCAGTGTCGCTACCCCTCCGGAGCAGAAGGTAGTGGACCCCCAGCGGCGCTGGGAGTGTCTGTCTAAAAGACACCTGCCCACCACCGTGCAGCCCGCCCATTACGCCCCCTCTCTACCTCTCGGGCACGCCCAGGTTAAGGCCTGACGGAAAACTGCCCCACAGCAGTTTGAAACTGCCCTTTGAAATGGAAGCTTAGAGATAGTATTTCTAGTTCCTCCTCGTTTTGAAGGCAGACAATAGTCATAAGCTCAGAGTGAGGCAGTAACTTACCTAGGATCACTGAGAAAGTCATTGAAGAGACGGGCAACCTAGATCGCCGCGCTCAGGTCCAGTATTCTTCCAAGTGCGCTAGGTAGGCACCTTCACGACCGGCTGGCACAGCTGCCCTTGCCCCTGCCTGCTCTTCAGAGGGGGGCAGCTGGACTCTGCTGTTATTGTACCAAGAGTTTGCTAGGCCGGGTCAGGCACCAGGGTTTTCTGAGAGGTGTGAGGGGCAGGGCCAGATAGAAGTCAGCTTCCTGCCCTCTCTGGGGAGGTGGGGCGGGGAGGGAGACACTAAAATCCCTGGGGAGTGTAGCCCAGTGCTGAGAGCACTCACTCCCTAGATCTCACCTCCGAGCAGGGTGTGACTGCCAATTAATGTCTCCTGCCCCCACCTCGGCTCTCTGGCTGTCCCTGGTGGAAGAGAATTTCACCCCACAATGGGGCACTCCGCAAGCATTTGGCAGCCTCCAGCAATTACTGTCAGATTCTGTTCTTTGTAGTAATTTCTCTCTGGATTTAGCTACTGGCTTAGAAAATTGGGTTACATTGTTATTTGAATTTACACATAACGGGGTCCAAATGTTACTTCTGGCAAGTAAATTGCTTCTAGACCTTTGATTCCCTTCGGATGAGACACCCCTGACCTCCGATTTCCTAGGAATCGCCACCAAGAGGCCTTCGGGTTTTAATCAACCTTTCCTCTCTCAGCAGGTTAGCGCAATGGCTGCGATTTGCGGAAGAATCTTGGAAATAAGCCCTGCTTTTGGAACTCACCTCCACGCTACGAAGCTGGGAGAGACCTCGCCAGAACCTGGGGGATCTCACTTCGCCTAAGAAAAAGACAGACACACACAGAACCCCTCTAACCCGCCCTCCTTGCACGCAGAGCTGGGAGTGGCTGGCGGATGTGCATTTTGTCAGACCCCAGAGGAGGTGGCAGGGCACCTCGGGGAAGGCCGAGGGGGAAGCCTGGGCGGCAGAGGCTGTCTGCTGCACCCACTCGGCATACCACGTCTCCCCACCGCCTCTGGATTTCGGGTCTGAAGCGGCTCCCTGTCCTGCTCACCCTCGCCCCCCTCACTTTGTAACTTCCACGGCTGCCCCAGTCCCTAAGGACCACGCGCGTCTTCTCCCCCTCCCCATTCCTTGTGTCCTTAAAAATAATCAAACCGAACCTAAGCGGTGTGGCCTGTCTGTGCCCGGGGTGCTTGGGGTGGTCCTGGTGGAGGGGGGCGTGGAGTGCGGCCTGGAGGGGATGTGGGGAGGGGCGGCGCGGGATGCAGACCTCGGTGCTTTCCGTAGCAGAGAGAGCGATTGACGAGGTAACTAACTAATGGCCAAGGCCGCAGCTCCTTTGGCTCCCCCACCAAACTCTGCGACCTGAGCCGGGCCGACTCGCGTGCGCGCGGGGTGCAGGCGACCGCGGCGAGGTCGGAGGTGGGGGGAAGCTGTCTGGAGACTGTTTCTCGGTTCCTACTCGGGTTTTAAGTTGATTGGAAGGGAGGGCGATGGGGATCATCTTGTCCGCCCCTGGCACGCCGCTGGGCCCCCGGTGCTCCTCGGGTGGGACCGAATGACCGGGTGGGGACCGAATGGCCGGGTCGATAGGAGGCGACACGGGGCGTCCTTCGGTTTAACTGAGTGTCGGCAAACACTTCCGGTACAGGCCAGCCAATGGGAGCCGACAGGCGGGGCAGGGGGCTTTGTCCCCTCGGCGAGCAGCGTTGGGAGCAGGGCTGGGGGAGTGAAAGAGGTGACGATGCTCGCTTAACACCTGGGTTCAGAGCAGCGCGGGGCCACCGGCCAGTCACCGAAGTCTGGGGCGGGAAGACGCCGCGTCCTCCCGGAGAAGGGAGGGGGAGAGATTTTAAGACCCTCGAAGGCTGGGGAGGGGAAGGGGGGGTGAGGAAACTGAGGAACAGGCCGCAGGCCACCCCCTGCCCCCACTCTGTCTTCTTTCCTATAAAACGACCGGAGTCAGAAGGGGCTTTAGAGATCATGAACGACAAAAATACAAACCCCTTCCTGAAATAAAGGAAATGGAGGCCAAATGGGAGGGCAAGGGACTGGCTCAGGGTCACACAGAATGCGTGGTGCACGGACCGCGGCTTTCCACTCGGGGTCCTTCTCAGATCAGCCTTCCCTCCCTCTCTCCCCTGGGAAATCCCCTTCCTGCTTTCCTTTTGCTTCTGGGCAACAGCTGCTCCTACCTCCAACCTCCCCTGGGACGCTCCAGTCGCCCTCACTGACCCGCGGCTTAGGGTCTGGGAAATTAAACTGCGAAAAGATAAACATTATTTCCAGTCGGCTTTGCGGGATTAACGCTTGTAATAAAGAGCATTAGCTGGGGGTTTCTTTCAAGGCGCTCTCGACCCCACCCCCTCCCGGGGGACCAGGTAGACCCGTTAGGAGGCCGCGGAGCCTGCAGAGGCCTGTTCTTCCGGCCTCCACTTGGGAGCCGGTCTCCAGCTGGCCATTTTGTGGAAGGGAGGAGGGCCCTCAGCATTACACTGGGTCAGCACTTGGAGATGGGAAACCGAAGGCCAGGGAGAAGAGACCAACCTAAGCCCGAGATCATGTGGCCCAACAGGGGCTCTGGGATCCAGAGAGTGAAGGATGGAGGCTGGGGGAATCCGACCCGCACACTGCCTCCAGCCATGTGGCCTTTTATAGAAACAGTGAGCCTTGGGAAAGGGGGCCCACCTGGGTCTGCCTGCCTTACCACCCAGGACCTCGGAAGGTTGTCTCTCCATCTCTTGTCTGGGAGGCCTGGCCTCCCCCTAACTCCCCCAGCCCATGGCAGGAGCCTGCAGCCAGGGTTGTCCTAAGATCCTGGCCCGGCTGGCTGGAGACAGTAGGGCGTGAATAGCGCTGACAGAGCAGCCTGGAATCCCAGCAGACGGCTTCACCATCTCTGTCCCCTCACTACCTTGCTGCAGGGTCATGGACAAGCCCCTTCCCCTCTCCCAGTTTCCCCTGCTGTGAAACACAGGGGACGGCCTAGTTCTCCAGCCTGGTGCTCCATGTCCGCTCCAGAGCTGATGGGGCACTCCAGGAGGACCGGCGAGGGGCCTGCGAATGGCACGTCTGAGCCCACGATTATCCCAGACTCAGGCCCCCAGCGGCAATCTGTTCTCACCATCTCTGCCCCCGCCGAGAGCCTCCTGCAAATCTCTCCATATAATCTCCCAGAATCATATTTTGAATACTGTTTTGATTAAACACCAGAGCCAGGGGAGGAAGGATACAGCCCCGTTCTTCTCGGCTGAGCCTGCTTGTGCCCACAGACAGCTGGCCTGTGAGCTCAGCAGAGCGAGTGTCACTAGATGCAGAAAGATGACATTCTCAGGTATGGAGTCTGTAGGAGCTGGACCTCCAAACACCCTTCATGGCTAAAGAACCCCTTCCCTTAGATGGGGAGCAATCACCAGGGGGCTGGGCTGAGACACGCTGGACCAGGAAGCCGCAGCACCCCAGGGTCTTCACTGACGCTTCTGGCACCCGGAGTCACTGCACCAGCATTGGACTCACTAGATGATCTCTGTGGTCATTTTTGGCTCCGAGAGCCTATGACCCTGGCAGTGCTCATAAGAACTTCTGGAGCCCTTACCACTTGTCAGACTCAGTGCCATGTCCTTTAAATGCCTGAACTCATTTATGTGTCGTAACAGTTCTAGGGGACGTTATAGTATACTTACTAGTATGTCTATCTAATGACTGAAGGGAAAAAAAGCTCAAAGAGGTTAAGGACCTCGATGTCAATCATCCGGCCAGCAGGTAAAGAAGTCAAGGTCGGAGTATCACTGATGCTTAACCACTAAGCTTTACTGCTAATACATTCTATTATTTTAAGATTTTGCTGTTCCATTATGAATAAGAGCCTATGTTTCTGAGACTAGAACTGTCATGCCTCTGGAGCTCTGGCTTGCTCTCTTTCTTTCTCAGGAATGTCCAATGGAAAAAGACTTCTTTCTGGTGCCCCCTGGACCCACCCCCATATCTGGCCAAAAGCATCCCCCGCCTTTCCCTCTACCCACATCTCCCTGGGACATGGCTGTCTGAGACATCTTTGATCAGTGGTTGGCAAAATGCAGCCCATGGATCTCTACTATCGAAATCAGCCCATAACTAGAATATCCCACTGGGAGGTGGTCTAGATCTGCCTTTGTGACAAGCACCTAAGTGGTCTGATGGACCTCTAACCTGAGTAGCAGTGGCTGAACCTTAAGTGAGGAGACCCTAGGCTCAGCATGAGGGCTTAGGACACCTGCTGTTGGCCAAGAGTAAACCGCATCCCGGTAACAGGTGCAAACATTTCCTCCAGGATTTAATCCGTATTCACATTCAATCTCCTCATCTGGTTCAGCTCCTCCCTCCCCCATCCGGGGAACTCAAAGGCTTGTTGTTATTGGAGAGGGAGGATGTAACCTAGGAGACTATCTTACCTTTCCCAGCTGTCTGAAGACGTACTAGGATTCCAGGGTTGGGAGCATTTTAGGAGTCTCCTGTACCTCAGCATGCAAGAGAATTCTGTCCCCAAACACAAGCACGCAGTCCAGAATCTCTACACTTTCGGGGCAAAGCCAATATCAGGAATGAAAGACTATATCTTAGGCAAATAAATCAACTGTTAGAGGAGGGAGGCCTCTGTCTCCTGAAACAGCCAGTTGCAGCCTCAGCCGCATTAGAAAGTTCTTTCTTTTTTCGACCAGTTTTTCTCCACGTAACTTCCGAAATCTATCTCCTGAACCAACAAGTCTTACTGTTCTCCAGAACTCATTTTTTTTTCTCCCACCCTCTA